AGATTACTGTGTGGTGGATGTCCTCCCCTGGGGTGGGATGGGTGGGTTTACTAGGCCCGCAGTAACTGGCACAAGCTGTTGCAGTGTCCCTGCCTGTCGGCGAATCTAATAAATTAAATTAAATTAACCCAACATGTGCAACTACTTTTCAGATATCAACCTCCTGTCTGTGCCGTGTAAGGAATAAATTTAATCCAATGGGTGTGTGAGATGAGGAATCATATAAGATTTGATTCAACATATAATTCCTCACCAGCTTTTCAGAAAAATATAACACATTTTTATGGGAGAATCTAGGAGTACATAACTGCATGTGCATCTGAAGTCACTGAAGCTTTCTATAATCACTCCTTAAACTAAGTGTCCAAAGCTCTCTCCACAAAAGGAACAAAAAGTGATATTACAAAGAAATATGTGACGAATCTGATCTAAAATTGTCCTTGTAAATAAAACAAGATGTGAAATATACCAAGGCAAGCACTAATTACTTACACACAGAACAACATTAAAGGGCAAAAATCACGAGTGGGCAAGAATTCCATATAACCCCATACATTGATTATGCATTCGATCTTTGTTCAATTAAAACAATAGCAATAACAATAGAATTCCTCAGAGACTAGTAGTCTATTTTCAAAGTTCTGATTTTTTTTCTAAGTCTTTTTTGAAATAGGGTAAATTTGGTGCATTTTGGCTTTTGAAAACAAAAATTTCGAGTAATTTTAGAGAGGTTTTCAATTTTGTAACATAACTGAATGTTGAGTTTCGCATTGAAAGACTATGGTTGGCTAGAAAATAATATCAAGGCTATTGTCAGGTTGTAAAGTTTGTCAATGCAAAGTTATGCTGTATCTTACCTGTTCTTGTGGTTTTGATTGATTAATTCTTTCATTATCCTTGTAGAAATGATGCTGGAGCTCATTACATTAGTTTGATTGGTGAATAAGTATTTTATTTGTTTCGTGTCCGAGTGACGAAGGCGGATCACGAAAGGTGCATAGAGTGTTGCAAAGAAACCTTTATATTTAGTCTTTATGGACTTCATAAAGGTGGGTGATATGTTCGATAATGTTTCCAAAGGGGTCCTTTCCGTAGTGCTGATGCCACATATATTCTTGTAGGTAGCCCTCCCAAAGTTCTTTGGATGTTCCTGTTCGTATCACCATTTCTGTTGACGTAGTTTCTTCATAAAGTGAGGACTCATGCACTGCTTGAGTATTTGCAAATTTGTGCACTCAGGCATAAGTTAGGGCTAATACTTTTTCGATGGAGAGTCTGCTACCGGAAAACCATGAATTCTGGTGCATTGAAGCCAGTCCATCGCAACCTTTTCTTGAACATCCCTACTCAAACCTGTCTTGCAATGAAGTTCATTACGTCCAGCTAGGTGCATTGCTGCACCCAGCCCGAGGACATTTTACTGATGTTGCAAGCAGGTTGTGTTCCATACATCACTCCATGCACCGGTCGTGATCCGAAAGGATATGATATAGTTTAAATAAGTTTAAGCTTTCCATTTTGTTGTACAAATTGGGCTCTGGTAAATGTGAATAGAAAGATAGATGAATAAAATTTGCTTTGTGTGTGGTACTTGGCCAATCGTATTGAAGAATAAACACATTCTTTAGTACAAAGGGGACTTCCTGTGCATTATATCAATATACATATATTATTATGAAAATTTTTTTCAGTGAAAGGTAAAACAAAAAGTAATTTTTGGAGGG